AATTTCAAAACGACCTCCAATTGGATCAGAATGGGAATAAACCATAAATATGCTCATCGTGGACGAAATACATGCAAACAAATTTTGTCGAAGAAAATCCGTTTCTGAATATCTCTTAGGAGAATCACACTGTAAAATTCTAAATTAGCATTGCCCTGTATAGCAAGTTTAGCAAGCACATAAGCGACTTGATTTTGGTCTTTGTATATACAGTTATACTCTAAAGACCTTGGATAAATTTTGCGAAGTCTTCTTCCCGTCTATGCATCCTTGACTTGGACTGCACTTTTCCCTCAATCAACCTCATAACCTCCATTGAATCACCCTCCACATGCACATAAGTCAATCCTAGCTGTTGTGCGAGAAGAAACGCCTGTTCTACTGCATATAGTTCTGCCTCTAAAACATTAGTCGCTCCACGCCTTTTAGAAATTGCAGCTATCAATTCGCCCTTACAATCCATTATTACATCTCCAATAGCAAAGATTTGATTTTTCATAGAACCATCCACATTTAATTTGAACTTGCATGGACTCGGTTTTTGACATGTCACCCATTTGCCACGTTTAGCCATGACTTGCATAGGACATATGTGCAATCTCTCTAAAATTTGTTTCTCCCTCCAATTAGGATTACGTTTAGGGTATTGCTTGAGATTGAAAGCTTGAACTAGATAGGTAGTAGAGCGGATGATCCCTTGAGCATTCATCGGATGCATCTCAAAAATACATTTACACCTGCTCTTTCATTATTCATATAAATCGATTACCAGAATTTGCACAGTGCACCAACCCACTTGAGATCTGCAGTTATTCCCCGACCTCCAGTTCTGAACTAATCGCAAAATAGAAGAAACATGACATTGTTTACCTAGAATATTAGCAAAATTCCAAACCTTTGTAGCTGTATCTAAATGTAGTAAAAGATGAGTTATGGTTTCTTCTTGGAGACTATGGCAGCATTGGCATCTTGATGCGATTGGATATCATGTTGTTTGATATATATATATATCAAATCCCATTGTTGATTTGGTCATCAATGAGTATCCGGAAATTCAACATCCTTAGCCTCGCTAACCGTAAGCTGAGATTAACTTTATGGATCTAAAATTACACCACACCAATTGTCGTTCCAGCATGATGTCTCCTTTGCCTACAATCCACCGATACATATGTAGTCGGTGATGGAAATGAGACTGCAATTGTTTCCACGGTCTTAAGGAAGAAGGTTTATAATTGGTAATCTCACCATACTTCTTCATAAGAATCTTACTCCATAGTGATTATCCTTGCATGATCTACCATGCAAGTTTCCCTTGGAAGCTACGCATTGTATCCTGAGTTGATCTGATACCCAAACCTCGTGCAGATATTGGTGCACACACAGTTTCCCAATTTCTCCGGTACAAATGTTTTTCTCCATTTTGTCTCCAAAGAAATAATTTATAACAGTGCTCAATTCGAGCTATCACCTTCTTAGAGACCAAAACACTAGACACTGTATGGATGGAAATAGAGCTCAACACAGATTTGATCAAGGTAATTTTTCCAAAAAATGATAAAAATTTTGCTTTCCAACATCGATCTTTTGCAAAATCTTCTTCACTAGAATATCAAAATCCGCTGCTTTAACCCTACCTCGAGTAATTGGTCCGCACATGTAGAAAAAAGGGAAGCTTTGAATCTTCCACTCCAGCAATTCCTGGATTTGAGTTTGCCTTGCTGGGATGAGGAGCTTGGACGGGTATTACACTTTTATTTAAGTTAATTTGCTGACGAGAAGAGATTTGATATTTATGCAAAATTTTCTTCAGTTTTACGAAGAACGACTACTGCCAATAGCGAAGATAAGCATGTCATCCTCATAAAATAAATGTGAAATGCTTTCCACATGCCTGCCAAAAATATGCTCTTATATGCCCTACTTGTTCATCTTACGGAATACCATATCTTTGAATTGCTCTGAGAAACCCATAAACTGTGTAGATTTCAAGAGAAAACTCCATTCTAATCTATCATAGGCCTTCAACATATCCAACTTCATGATCAAAGTACTGCCATAGGTTTTTCGATCAACTTTATTGACCAATTACTAAGTAAGGGCAACTGTCTCACTAATTAATATCCGACAAAACCACTTTGTTGCTCATTAATTAATATCAACTCGTTTCTAACCTGGACAAAACCACTTTGTTGCTCATTAATTAATATCGGAAGAACCTAAACATGACTTGAAGCAAGAATCTTAGATATCATTTCGCTGGAAAAATGGCCTATACTAATAGGCCTGTAGTCACCTAAAGTTGTTGGCTGCTCCAGCTTAGTAATAAGAACCACATAAGTGGTAGATATATCTCTTTTGATCTGATCCCCCAGAAAAAATCTTGTGATCAATTCCATGAATTCATCTTGAATTATCTCCCAACCGTGTCTGTAGAAATGACCAGTAAAGCCATCAATACAAGGATAGGTGTTTGGGGATAAATTTAGAATGGCTTGAAACAGCTCCTTGTTAATAGGGAGTTGTGTTAATATGATGTTATCCATATCCTGAAAGACTGTTGGATAATCCTGGAATAAAGAGTCATCAATGTGATACGGATAGGCTATAAGCAAATGTAGCGAAATGTTGCATATCTAGGTTCCCCAAGACTTGATTATTCGTAATCCAGTTACCCTCTGCGTGATGAATCTTCACACAATTTCTTTTTCTCTTTCCTTTGATAATTCCATGACATAATTTAGTGTTTCTATCTCCTTCAACTATCCATTTAGCTTTGGTTTTCAGATAATTAAGATCATCTTCCCATATGTGTTTCACCGTTTATTAAGAACATGTCCTCCCAAATGTGTCGTCTTTCTTTCTGATTATTACTCCACGTGAATTGGTTGCCATAAAAACCAAGGTCTGATAGGCCAGATGATAGAATATAAGAGTTGAAGTCTTGCATTGCATTCTTATCTGGTTCATCCCCTTTGTTTTTCAGAATAATGTATAATTGTATTAAAATCTCCTCCAACTATCCATGGTTGGTCCCCTCCACTAATACTCTGTAAGTGGTCCCACAGATCACCCCTTTCCCCTCTACTGCAACTAGCATATACAAAGATGAGAAAATAAAATTAATAGTGAGGGATTGGGAAGTAATTTGCACAGGTTGATTAGAAACCTCACTCTTCCAGAGAAACCTGATGTGTTTGTTGATAACTCCACTATGCATGAACCAAGTATATCCAAGTTTTCTGGCATAGTCTTCCAATTTGTTATGATTTTGTTTATGTTCCATGATGCCAATTAAAATTGGTTGAAACTTCCTAATTATCAATCTCAGATATTCAAGGGAATCAGGCTGACCAATCCCCGTTGTATTCCATTTAAGATTGACATATTAAACAATAACAAGGGCGAGCTCATTCCCTTTCCAGGAACGTGTTACTCTTTTTCCAAAGGAAATTGATTATTTTTTTGTTCCTTTCTTCTTCCATGTACTCACACCAAGACCTTCATTTTCTGAATTAGGGGCTGAGCAGGATAGTGGAACTCCTTAATTTGATGTGGGTTTGGTACCAGTTCCATCCAAAAGTCTACCAGATGCTTTAGTATCTTGATTCATTACCTCATGATCCGTATTTGTATTCGTTGTGGTGTTCTTTCACCATCTATACTTGATTAAAAATTCTACTTCTTAATCAATTAGAATTACACACTGGGTTATAATAGGGACCAAAAGAGAAAATATAATCCGGACAATTAACAATTAATTAAATTCAAATTCCAAAATAATTTATAATCATTAAATAATAATTTATATTCCACTATCAAATAATTATTGACTTATCACATTAAGATATTCCAACAACCACCAAATAATTTATTCATTGGAAATAAAATTAAATGACATATTCTTCTGAGTCTTACCCGCTTAACATATATGAGTATGCTAGATACAAAATTCACTTGACCGAGTTTTAGGCACAAACAAAACTCACAAGCTATTAGGGGGTTATTAATCAATCTCATGATGTGATTTATTTCGATAATTAATTTCACCTACTAATTCTTAGTGTCTCTACCCAAGACACTACGCTCACTTGACTCAATATAGAAATTTCTCCAATTTTAACGTTAAAGTGGAGATCACCAATTAAATTTATATGTTAATTAATTATGTAGGGATTAAGAGAGTACGTAATTTGTTGTAAACTGGAAATAATGTAGTTTTGTATTTAAACATTGATGAAACAATTATAACATTTTACCTAATTCATCACATGGAGAGTGTGCTAGGACAATAACTACAAAATTTATTCTCTGTTTTAGTGAGTTCAACACATATATATCTCTTAAATATTGTTCAACAACATTTTCCTATGGTTACTCCAATTCTATCTAGATTGTGAACTATTAAGTGTTATATTATAAAGGAACTTTCAAAATGACCTTATGTGTGCTATATATCCAAATCAACATACCATTTTGAATAATATCAAAATATTAGACTTATGCATCTGATCAGTTGACAATAATCAATATCCTATTAAAAGCATTTGAGACACACATAAGAATATGAGAAATCTAAGTTTTGAGTTATTGGCGGGTGTGCTCAATATTTTTGAAACACACATATGCAGATGACCTATCCCGTTTGAATAACACAATATATACGAACTTGAGATTTGACATGGTAAAATTCAAATGGTGATTTTGTTCTGAGCATCATATGCTATGCTATGATGTTTTTACCAAGTAAAAAATATGTAAATCAAATAATGCTAAAGACCTAATAACGTTTTACAAGTGAAATAGGTAAATGTGTATGTATGTATGCATTCGAAATAGAAATAAAGGTGTTGTTGTGCAGTTAAAAACTTAGAGTGGTTATTGATTGTGTGTATAAAATATATAAAAACAAGTACTTGTTATGTTAAACATGAGACAAATGAGCGAAGCGTGATGTTTTCCCCTACCAGTGCACAATTTCATAACCTAGGGTCCTAGTCAATCAAAATTCATTACATTTTTTTTTCTGTTGAAACGATTGAAGAGTCCATCTCTCAACATATCTGTAAAACTCAAATGCAAGAGTGACTCACCTCCAATCCAGCTCAACCACGTCTTAGTTTACCATTCTTAAATCGAGATGAATTCCAGTGCAGTGAAAATCAAAACATGAGAACTAATACGGGTGTGGTATCTGAATTTGGTTGATCCTGCTATACCAGATTGAATGTAGAATCATATGAAATAGATCATATCGTATGGGCCTTACATTCCATAGGAAGTGCCTCTTCAATCTCTTGATGTTGGTTTGCATTATAAGATATTGTCTCAAAGGGATTGCTAAGAGTATCTGTTTTAACTTGGGGATATCATTTTCAGCAACAATAACTGAAAAGGCGTTCCAATTGAGAACGTCGTTTAATGGTGGGATAAAATTGTCAGCAATAATCACTGGAACACACTCGTAATATATGGCCTCAACAATCCTTGGGCTGTTGACTTCAAATCCCATGGGACAAATGCAATACTTGCTTGATTTCATGTGTTGAGAATAAGACATCACTCTTGATACTTTGTTAGGTAAAGGTCCATAAATCCTCATATCCCTATCTTTCTCGCTCCAATTCTTGATAAGTATCGGACGCACCCTACCATGATTATTTCCAGCAAAGAAGGCAAGAATTGGGCGTTGTGACACTCTTCTACCACCCAGGCCTTTAAGAAACTTTCTAGGATTTCGCATTATTGTTTCTGGCAATGAAACATCTTTTCCACTAACAAAAATCCATTGTGATACATCAGCGTTGCACAAAGCTTTAATAGTGTTTTTTGTGAGTTCTTCATGCTCTGTCAAAGTATAAGGTCCCTGTAACAAGTTACTCAACAACAATAAGCCATAAAATATTTTATAGAAAACATAGAGGAAAACAAAATTGATCTAGATGATACAATAACTGGTTCAATAATTGGTATGGTTTTTAAGTCGTAGAGACGACAGTAGAAATAAGTATGCATCCATAATAAAGAGTTGTCGTAGATTAGTAAAACATAAAACTGTAAAAACAAATGTAAACAAGGTTTCAAGGAACGATAATATTGCATGGAGATCTAGATGTATTTATTTTTTTAAAAATTATATCAAGTACGTGAGAGGCAACAACCTTATGTAACTATAATCTAACTTATAATATTGTTTGTCATTTAATCCTAACTTCTAGAACACTCCTAGTAGTTATAATATTATTATTACAATTATTCGTTCAGGTTGGATAATTTTGACACGTTATAAGTCAAAAGCTCATTCTCAAATTTTCTTACCTAAATTAATAATATAAATTTAATGTTATTATTATATGCAAAATGAGACTTGTTAAACATTTTAAGACGATAATGTCTTTATAGTAAACTAAATATGCAATAAGCTAGGTCAAGGATTTCGTACCCAGTCATGACAGGCAACAAGAAAATGATCCGCTCCATGAGTGCGATTCCAGAATGGATATTTTGAAGCAAGCATGTTTACATAATCTCGTAGAAAGATTGAGAGGGGTTTCATATTATGAGAATTAGGGACATATAAAGCCATTTGTAACTGGCGTGCACTATATGGAAGATAAAACAAGTGAGCCTTTTGAGGGTCCTTTGTTACAAACTGCCTATTTTCTTCCATTAACTTCATGAACCATCCTTCTGATGCGTAAATTCCTCTAAGTTGCGGCTGATGAAAAATAGGTTTTTCCTCCTCTTGATAAATGTACACTTTTAATATTCGCTCCATCCATTCATAGCTCCTTTTTTTTTGTGCCCAATAAAAGAAATGTCACATTAAAAAGAATAGTAGAATTTAAAATAGTGGCTTACTTAAGTAATTGAAGGGCATTTACAAGACAACATTGTTGAGCAGATCGTCATATTCTTCATATATATATCAAGAAGGTAGGAAAAATATCTTAACAGTGCGCAATCTCGTTCTCAACATAATATACATAAGAGTTATGTTTATAGTAATCTACTCAAACATAAAACATAGAAGTATGAATAGTATCTCCATAAAACGCTATACTAGTTCAGAACCATATACAATAATACAAAATAAACATCATTCAAAATTATGTAAGCCATTCAAATCAAATCATATCACTAGCTACCTTAAACGTATAATTATGTATATATGAGCAATGACAAGCATCATTTTTTTTCAAACTCTAACATAATAAGATTTGTTTTTTGATTATTTCATATAAATATATATAAGATTAACACAAGTAGATTGGAAATCAAAGGAATATTTAAATTCTAACATGTGTTACACTCAGTCTGAGGCCAAATTAAAATATAACTCACTAGAGTCTTCTTATGCTCACATACATTAGCACTTGTGTTACCCGCCTTAAGGATGCTGCTCAACCATTACTTGAAGGCATTTCAACCTAATATGTTAAGCAACCTAAAGGAACTAGCATCCTAAGAATGTATTTAGTTGTTGTTATAAGGATGATGGAATAAAAGCATTGCTTCTATCTATTTTGTAATTTAATGTGATTTTGCATTTGAGTTTGCATTTCTTCATTAATCGATTAGTCCATTATTCTACCCAAAAGCAACACGTAGAGGATCATTTCATTAGTTCTTATAGAATATGAGTTTATTCCTTAACAACTTCGATGAAATTGGGCAAAATTTAGATAAAGTTGGACAAACTATTTTAAATGGTACAATATTTAAGTCATATATATGTCTTGGTTGTAATAAAAAAAATATTAGTTCTTGTTTAAGTTACTATGGTAGCGGAAAAAAAAAACAAAAAACAAAGAAAGAAAAGAATCTTATCACGGCAACACACGTAGCGTGTCGAACTTGACAAAGTAATAATTATTTCAGCCGCTGATTACATAAACTGGATTATTCTCGTTCTTGGAAAGTACTTAGTTTCTTAATCCATAAATATTTAACGTAAAAATTTAGTTAGTGCACTCTACTTTCATGATCAAACTCTTATGATTTTGAACGAGTCAAGAGGCCTGGTGACTTCAATAGTTGCTTTATTTATTGGGAAAAAAATATTTATCGATAGGAATGTACATCTATAAAACAAGAGACTAATAAATAATCTTGAGTATCTAATGAGTTTTATTTGTACCAATTAATTGGCCGAATAAGTTTTCTATAAGCAATATTCAAATAAGTTAAGCCGGTAAGAATCAAAGAAAATATATCAATTGGTTTAGTCATGTGGGACATTTCTTGTAATAAATAACCGAAACTCCAAATATAATTTTGAGAATATGCAAGCTAGTGTTATAGTTACATGTTAGTGAAAATAATAATTATTAGTAATTAAGTGATTAGAAGTTTGGCCAATATTTTCTCACTTTGGTTCATATCGTAACTCGACATATAATATAATGAGTGAAGCTGGTTCAACCATTAAGATTGGGAGTGATGAGGTGGCATATATTGCCATTTCAAGGAAAATGGATTTTTTCTTCAACTTTATTCGAAAATATTTTAAAGGCGTGTTCTAGTTTTATTCCATGTAAGGATTTAATTCTTCTATAAATACTTAGAATTGGTCTAACTCTTATAGTCACATAAGTCACGGGACTTATATGATAGAAATCGATGTTTTAAAGAAATAATATGCCTTGTGATCTCTTCTTCTTGATCTTTCATTTCGAAAATGATTCAAAAATTATTTTTCAAATTAATATTGGAACTAATCATTTAAGGTACTTAGTATTAGAATCGATAGCCACATACTATAATATAATTAATTTATCCGGGAATACCTAGAAGATCAGAGGTTTTGGATTGAGCAACAAACTTAGCAAGCCAAAGAACTTTGATGTAGGTGCAAATTAACGCAAACGAGGTTAGACAATTAGCAACTGAACATCTTTCCGTACGGGAAGTAAAGAGGACTTCTATATTATGTTTGAATCCCTATGCAAGTTTATATTATTTCATTTCCCATCAATATTGAAATTAACATTTATGAATAATGTTCAATAGTAATTCTATTATGAATCTTCCACTGGTTGTCATGCAATTCAATTCCAACAAATATTTTTATACTAAGAGGCCGGTCAATCTGATCCAGTGTTGATATTAAATAAAAATAAAATCAGTCTATTTATCCATAGGGGTGGTTAACCAATACTCTATAAATCCAATTATTTTATGTTATAACTATCATTGAAATAGTGTATCTTCAACTTGAAGGTGTCTTCCATATCTAAACTAGAGTAGTAGTTCATCCATTTATTGCTCAAGCTAGAATTAATATACTTATGATACCTTAGAAGATTAATATATTTTCTAAGATATAAGAGTTTAGAATGCTACAAGTATAAGGTTATTGGATATACCTCTTGAAGGTGGAAATATTTCGAAATAGTGGGGCATACAGTTCTGGATCATCATTAATATCCTGTGGAGCATTCTCAATATCTCTCTTGACAAATATGAGTACCTCATTTGGTTTCAATGGTAATTGGTATCTCTACATGCATAAAGATGCATATGTTAGAAGGAATGATACACCAAGAAAATAAATAGAATAAATTAAAAAAAAGGGTAAATAGCACTTAACCCCCTGTGGTTACAAGCTTTTGCAGATGACCCCATTGTGATCGTAATGTCAGAACATAACCCCCTTGTGGTTTATGGGGGTAGCTTCCGCTAGGTTTTTCGTTAAAACTTAACCTCGTGTATCAAACTTCAAGGGGGTCATCTGCAAAAATGAAAGGGAAAATGAAAGCACAAGGGGCTCATCTGCAAAAAAAATACTTTGACGTTTGCTATAGGTGGTTAAGTTTGACGGAAAAACTAACGGAATCTACCCCATAAACCACAAGTGGGTTATTTGTTGATAATATAAGCACAAGAGGGTCATATGCAAAAGCTTGTATCCCCAAAGGGTTAAGTGCTATTTACCAAAAATAAAAAAACATTCCTCCATTGTGCAGTTTTCTAAAAAATGAATAGAGAATATGAAAAAAAAAAAAAAAAACCATATTGATTGACTTTACGTTTATAATTACCCTTCTTTCTTTTGATTCTTTTTTCTCCTGTAATGGTGAAGATGGAACAACATCTGATTGATTCACTTTGGCAGAAGAATTAAGTGTAACCACTAGAGGGGTATCTCGAAGATTTTCATGGTGACTGTCCACTCCAAGCAAATGACTAGTCTCACCCGAAAGAACAATATTGTTCTGTGATTTGAAAGAAAAAAATTGATCTTGTGGTTGGAAAATCCACCCAACAAGTGGATTAGGAACTGTAGAAACTTGTATGAGAACATTGAATACTGTAAAAATTCCAAAAATAAAAAATAGCTTTTTCCAGTCGATTTTGAACATCGAAACGACTAATATCCGCCGTAATAGTTTAATCATATTTATCTACTGACTAATTTGGTCAGAAGTATGGTCCTGAATAAACTATGTTAAAAATATATGATCAATGAATGTAAACTTCCTACACTTTATTTGATTGATTGATGAACCCGTTGTGCACTTCTTCATGCCATGCTTCAGCATGTTGAGGAGAAACTCCAATCCTGTCATTAAGATTCGGGTCAAGCTCATTCATTTGTATCTAGATGTAACATTGTGAACATAAGGCTTTGTAACATACTAGCATGCTATTCTACAAGCAATATCAAACTCTATAATTTTTCAGACATGTAATGTGTACTGCTTCGTAATACAATATTCTGAACATAAGACCTTGTAATGTACAACAGCGAGGCTATTAGAGAAGAACCTTAAAAGATAATTTTTTATTTTTAATCTGCACGTATGGCTTTGTAATATAACAACATTAGTTTTTGTAACGTGAAACTACTAGCTATTGTGGAAGAACCTCAAACTCTCCTAATCTTTTTATGATATGTTGCCATAAGTTTTTGTAAAACAAATAAAGATTCATCGC